TTATTAATGAACTACATGTTACAAAATAATGCAACATTATAAACTAATAAAATCCCCCTATTACCTTCTACTACACACAATTTGTTTTAGAAAAAGTCACTAGCGCAAAACTAAACAAAACAAAACAACAAAAACTAYGTAACAAAATATACATATGACATTGTTAACAACAAAACTTTCAATCTCATCACACTATTTTTGATCTGCTGATTCTCATCTACGTATCGATAGGATCGATATTCAGATCAATTCTCCCACCCCTACTTTGTGTGTGGAGGAGTAGGCGGGGCTTAAAACCCACATTGCTGGCAGGCAGACTCTGGTTCCAAAAATACTAGGGGTGCTCCTTACTTGGAGATTGGCCGATCCTTAGGATTGGCAGAAAAGATTGGCTTTTCTACCTCCACAAAGGCCTGAAAATCAGCCACTGGCCGTTTTTGCTCTGCTGTGAGCATTATATCCAGTTAAAACAAGTTTGTATTGTTTCAAAGATATTGTTCAAAGTGTTTCAGTAAAATAGCATTTGAACATTGAAGATGTATTGTGACTTCATAACATCTGACAGTGTCAGCTATTTAAAAAGTCAGTATCGGCCAAAATCGGCAGTTCAGACTTTTCAAAGATCGGAGATTAGCAAGAAAACTGGAATCGGTGCACCTCCAAAAAAATACACATCGTAGCAGCTACTGCTAACTGTGTCCTGCTACCTTTAGTTCCAATAATAAGGAAAGGCGAGCACACAACATCTAATTCAATTAATTTCATTTATTTAGTGGTAATTCAAAACAAACGTCATTTCAGGGTTCTGTACAAAAACATTCACAAGCAACACAATAGAAAAAATAAATAAATATTACATGGTCAATGCTCCAAATCAGACAATAGAACTGTGCCTGACACAACTATTTTATTTAAAAAATATTTATTATGCTTTGAAATTGGATGGAAACACAGCAGTTTTCAGTACCATTAGAAATTCCTTAAATTTTCGAATTTTTGTAAGGGTGTCAAGCTAAAGGTAAGAATCAGAAGAAGTTGTCTGACACCCTAGTTTAAAAAAAGAGCCCCAGTAGCATTTGGTAACATTTAAAGGGAGAAACTGCACTGTTTTTGCCCACTGGTGGAACAAAGACTGTTAAGTTATGTAAAATAAATACAAATATGAGCTTAGACATTTTTTTTTTGGTCCGTTGAATCAATCTGACCACATTCTGACTTCAGCTCTGCCTTTCAGGAAGAAAGCAAACTGTGTAAAACAATTCCTGTCATAGCTTCTGTGGTAAAATCAAATATTATCAGTCTGGCTTGTTTTTTATATCATGATTTTCCATCTCTCTCTTCCTTCCTTTTCTCATCAGACTCCTATGACCCCAGTCGGGTAGAGAAGGTGTAACCTCCGACCACTGCCTTTACCACTGTGGAAATTGGTCTTTCTCAAGTTAACAGCTTTTTCCAACGACAAAGACTTTCATCTCACCTCGTGGCTCGGTCAGCTGTGACCCCCCTCTCTTCAGAATAAGTTACACATGACTTCTCACAGGACTGACTATCCCGGTGCTGCCAGAGCATTTTTATAGCCAATAAAAGCTACCGCTGGGTGCTGGTTCTCCAGGTTAATTCCGTCTCTATCACCAGTGTCCTTCCATCCTTTCCGCCTCAGAGCTGATTCGTTTTTCTCAACCAAGTGGACTTCCTTTATTTACAGGTTTGTCTTTTGCTTTTGGAAGCTGCTTGTCATTATTGCCATCCGCTCTCGTGCTCTACGAAGAGCTTCCATGTTGAAACATGAATGTAAAAGTGCTTCTGTTCAAAAAGCAAACAAAAGAAATGTAACGAAACATAAGAGTATTGCATTACAATCACTATTAACCTACAATAAATGTAAATAAGAGTTATAAGATTTTATTAAGATTCTAAAAACAAATGTTAAAATTAAATGTATATTTTCTTATGTATGTTCAAGGAGAAAAAGATTAGATTTTTGAGAGTGTAATCTTTACGTGTCTGACCAGTAATGAAACCCTTACTTTTTATTCTTATACTCGTGTGATAGAGAATGTATTCTGAGAGTTAAAACTGCGAAGAGAAACACTGTGGTCCTTGAATAGTTTCACTAAAGAGCAATATAGTTGTCATTTACAGGGAGTTAGTGACATAAATCCTGTAGTAGGTCTCGTTCAAGGAGCTAATCTCGTTTGCTTTAAAGCTCTACCTTTAGGTACAAGTATTAGATTTGCACTTCTGAGATTGTTCTCTGTTATTAGCAAACACCTGATAATCTCCTCACATACTCTGAGATTACGCTCTTTGCTCGGACTTAGCATCGTGTTCGAAAGCCGTCCCATCTGTACCAGAAACGTCTGTTGTTGAACCCCATCCTGTGAAAAGGACAACAAACGTATACTTTATGTATTGTGTGGTATTACCAGACGTCCGTAACTGTGGAGGATTCCTGTCTGCCACAGTTTAGTTGTAGTGTGCAGGAAGTGATAGATGTAGCTTAGTGATTGCAGTGTGCCTTGTACACACTGTTTCAGTGGAGAACTCTATCTGTGTGTAACCCATCGTGTATTGTTGCGCTACAGTTTGAACTGGACATCAACATCTCCACTTCAACTAAAATGAATAGAAAAAAAAACATGGAGTTGTTTTGGCAATAATAATAATGGGATGAAGATGCTTAGTAGTGCTGTACAGAATATTGTTGGGTTATTGATTACAGCATCTGAACTTGTTTTTTTCAAAAATATTTTTGGCCATTTTGAAGTATGTTTTGTGTAGAAGTTACAAAGAATTAAAACAGCCTTTTCAATTTTGGATAAAAACAGAGTTTAGGTCTGACAGAACAGAGGAGTTTGAACGCAGCTAAGACCAAAGTGGATTACTGCCGTCTCACAACAGCTCCAATCCCAAATTTTTATTATTAGTTCATGCAAAAGCTTTTTTGTTAATGTTTACACCACCATCACTTTTACAATACTTRGTTCTTTACATCATTGRCAGTGGTGGGCACAGTTCCCCTGAAGCACTAATATTGGAACTAATTTCCTGATTAGTGCTTTTGCTAATTTTAAAATKTATTAGTGGATTAGCACTAGCTAAATTTATATGCTAAATTTAGAAGCTAACTGAGGTCTATAACRTTAATGTTAACAGCTGAAGGTGAAAGCTGTCACTCATTTTGTTCAAATGTGTGTCACTTATCCACTAGGTGACATATTGACAATAAATGAACTCAAATAAGGCCGAGGAATGTCAATATGGCTTAAGAGAGCAACATGTCAATATGTGACTCATGTTGTCTGTTGAACAATGTTCATAGGTTGACTGGGTTATTTTAGTGCTTTAGAATTAGCTTTCTCTAAAACTTTCAGTGCATTAGTGCTTTAGAATTAGGGGGCCTGAATATTTGAGTTAGTGTTTTAGGGCTAGTGGAACTAATTTTTAGATTAGTGCTKCTCACCACTGATCATTGGTTCCCAAAATTCAGAGTCTCGCTGAGTCATCGGAAATCAAGTTGGGAGTTTTGAGCTTATTGTCAGTGGGGAAAAATAATCAAAATGACTGCTATATATATATTTGTAGAAACAGATATTTCTTGTCATCATGTCTTTGATTATTCAGCCAAAGTCTGAGTTACATCTGTGCTGCTATTTGGTAGTTTGGAAACAGAAAAGTGTGGGAATCACTGATTTACGTGGGGTTCTTCATGAAGGTAACTAGTACATCCTGGGGTCAATCCTGGCAGGAAATGTATAAAATCTCTTCTGAAATCACCCTGTAATGTGAAATTATTGGTGGTCTAAGTGTTTAAATACCAGCGATTGAACTTTTATAGATTCAAGTTGTGTCGAGACCGTGAGCAGTTGTCTATGGAAGTGGGTCAAGTCAGACAAGCCATTATTAGCTCAACAATATGGTCAGAGCAGACCTACTTCCAATAATAGAATTTTGCTGTCCTTAAACAGCACCAGCCTTCAAAATTTCCACAGAATCCAAAACGTATATTAACCTCAAAGAAAAGTGCGTTTGTTACAACTGCACTTGTAATCACGTAGACACAAAAAGCAAACGGTAAAGTAATTCAGATTAAAATGTGCGTAGGAATATGAGTAAAATTACACTGTTGAAAAACAAAAATAAGAGTAATCATAAAAATAAAAGTTTAAACAAAGTTGTGTAAAGGAGTATATTGTTAAAATGTTGAAATATTTATAATGTTATACTCTTAGTGGTCAGTATTTTAATTGCTAGTGCATTTTTAAGACATATTTTGTGAACCACTGTATAATGTTGGAGATTGGAGCTTTTTAAAAYRGCAGTCATCAACTGTGTTTGTAACWGCTTWTGAACCAYCGACGTGTTAAAACTCGACGCTTATAAGATCCCAGAAGTTGGAGCTGTAGGAGAATCACTGTACACCATAGGTCCCCATACAATTTGAATGTCCCGCCCCCTTCCACATAAACGTTACAGAACATTGCCCTTTAAAAACTAAATAAACAAAAACAAAAAAGACAACTTTTTCAGGTAATTCTCCTGCTGCTGTGTTCAAATATTCATTTGTCGAACACATTTAGCTGGAATTAGTTTTTTCTTGCTCGAAATAAAAATTTTGTAACACCACAATTGTGTGTAGAGGGAGTGGACAGGACTTAAAGCACCACATCCTTATTGCACAGACTCTGGTTCCAAAAATACAACAGGCAGCTTCTATAAACCAGGTCCTGGTAGCTTTAACTCCACAAAACAAGAGAAGGTGGTTTGTTAATATATATA